ACGAAGTTAGCACTATAAACAACAAAAACTTTGTAAAGGCTGGCTTTCATTAATATACACACATATATTATACATGTATATGTTTACACACTCATTTATCTCTGTAACATTACTTTAACTTTTATCTCATCCTCTTTCCCCTCATTTCAGTCCTATATTTCATATACTGGTCACATTATGACCTTGTTTAAAATTTTTCCTTCAGATATTCCCAAATTATTTTTCATGTCCTTTCCACTGTTAACAACATGGATGGGCACTTAACATACATTATCTTAATAATCTTTCCACAATCCCTAAGATGGGTATTACCATATTACTTTGCTTCTGAAATGCAATTTTTAAAACATCACATTAACATTTCTACAACGAGGAAACATACAATTGACTACAATGAATAATTTACTAAGGAAATGTTCCTACCACCTCCTCCAAAGGGTCTTAAATTGAGGGATCTTAGGAAATCAAGGACATACAGTCTCATCGCCATCTGACAGGTGAGCAGCTTGCCTGAGGTAACACAGTTGAGCTGCAGAGGAAGTATGTGACCTCAGTTCCGAGCTAACTCCAAAAGCCATCCTGCCATCCTTTGTTCACAATACAGCAAAGTGCCAGACACTGCACAGCAGCCCAGGTACAAGATGGCTGGCAATCAATAATAACTTGTCTGTTAAATTCTTCTCATTGCCCTTTCCCTTCCTCATTTTCTCCAAAGGGGACTCATTCCTACAGCTTTCTTCCACAAGTCTCCTAGAATACTCTGTTGGATAAACTGACATGTTTACAGCCTCATTCCTCAGCACCTCCCCTCCCAATATCTTAGTCTTTGCCCGGATCTGCTCCTACACATGGAATATGCCAACTTTCTTCTGTCCTCCTTAGTAAATTTTATAATTAATGAAAGCCTCCCTCAGGACATATTCCCTGAAGACTATGACTGTTTTCTAATGTACTGGAATACAAGACCTAACAGTTAATAACCGTCATAGGGTGACAAAATTTGGGAGGGGATGGTCATCACTTCTCTTCCCCAAAAGAGATGCTATGTTAACAGGTGGATCTTTCTTTAGGACTCTGCTTAAAATAAAGACACCAGAGACAGTAAGGAAATCTAAATATCAATAAATGCATGAAAATGAACATTTTTTACATGCCTGCTATGTGGTAAGCATAACCAGATGCCTTCAACCGTTTTTACGAAGTTAGGAAACAGAGGCTCTAACAGAGTATATACCTTGCCAAGATTACAGAACAAGAAAGTTGGATGAACCTGGTCTGCCTAACTCGAGATAAAGCCTGTGTTCTTTTCACCATGTCAAACTATGGCTTCTGCCTCCAATACTGAGGGGCAGTTTGGGAGAATGGTCCTACAACTAAAGATTTAATTGATGGTAATCAAGTCGGCTCCCTGAGAAAGTAAAGCCTTTAAATGGGAAGAAGCACAACTCTTGTCCTCCCCTCCAAATACATATACACACAGTGGGGAGCAACCCAAGGCTGCCCATCATTTCAGTTCTAACTCCCAAAAGTTCTGGGGATAAAGGAATTTCTTTGCTACTAGAACTACCCCCAGGAAGTAGGTCTCTTCCAGATGTGGTTGCTATCTCTTGTCTATGCAGTGCCATTAGAGCCAGGGGTCACTTATCACCTCTGCTGCTATTCAGAAGGACTCATGGAAAGCCTGCAGAGAACTGAGGGCAGCTCAGCACCAAGTGTGCTAGTACAAACATTTGTATTTTGCAAAGCTAGTAAGGAAAAAAAAAAAGGCAAAATAACATTTTTCTCTGCATCCCCTTAACTCTCTTCAGGTCGTTTATGTATTTAAAATACCTACTATACCTATATATTATCTAAATGACATCCATTCCACTTTCTGCTTAGGAATTTGTTAGCAACATGGTTATCAATCAGGTGATGAAATAATACAGCTACTGATATTAATCAAAACACAGATGTCAGAAATTTGAAATATTTTGGCTATAGAAATAATGGCCACTCTGGTAATGCCAACTTGGATCACATAGGTCAACAGTGAATTACTGAAAAACTGTCACAGACTTCTGAGAGTTTTGTTCCTTTCTCATGTCCAACAAGTAAAATCTAAAGCATATCACAGGCATACAACTACTAACTACCCATGAAAACACAGTGTGATCAATATGCACAGTACTGGGACAGACAACAGAGTTCTCTGTGGCAGCAAACTTGAAAGGTATATAGGAGATCCCCACTGCTCTAGAGAAATTGCTGTTACTGAGATCTCCAATGGCTACCATGTTTCTAAAACCAAGGTTGAATGGGTTGAATAACGATGACCCAAAGATCAAATCCTAATCCCTGGAATTTCCTGGGGCAGGGGATGGGGGGGTGGGAGGATCATTAAAAGTTTACCCTGTATTGTCCAGGTGGGACCTAAATGACATTACAAGTGTTTTGTGAAAGGGAAAATGGAGTTTGGAGAGACACAAAGAAGAGAAGGCAATCTGAAGATGAAGGTTGAGAATGGAGAAATATGGTCAGAAACCCAGGAATGCTGGGGCAGCTAGTGGAAGCTCGAAGAGGCAAGGAACAGATTCTTCCCTACAGCCCTGAAGAAGGAGGTCAGCTCTGCCAGATTTTAGACTTCCCGTCTCCAGAACATCAAGAGAACAAATTTCTACTGTTTCAAGCCATCAAATTCATGGTAATTTGTTATGGCAGCCTTGGAAAACTAATGCACAGAGTTATATCTTTGATTTCAACTTACTCCCTCTCTTACCAGCACTCAACCAGATCTATCCTTCTTCCACCTTTCTCTACTTTTGCATTCTTGTCGCATAGATCCTAGATCAAATTTGCCCCTACTCTCCAGTTTTCCTCCCACCTAAGTGCTCCTTTAGCCACCTTTGTTTACTCCTCCACTGTTAAGAACCTTTATCTGGAGGTCCCAGGACTCAGTCCTCATTACCTCTACTTCTCACTTAGTGGTCTCATGTAGTTCCACGGTTCTAAATACTATATCTATACACTAAAGACTCACAAATGTTTGCTCTCATCCCAAACCTCTTTACCTTGCTCCAAACATGTATCTGCCTATTTAACATCTCAACATGCAGCTCAGAGTCACTGTTTCAAACTAGAACTCTCAACATTCCCCCCGAACATACCTGATTCATATTGTCCACCTTTGTAAATGGCAACACCTTCTTCCCAGTTGCTCAAGTCAAAATCCTAGAAACCAATTTTGATTCCCATCTTTCCAAAAGTCTCTCATACACAATACTCAAGCAAGATCCACTGGCTCTGTTTACAAACAGGCCTTAAATCTATCTACTTCTCTCCTTTATCATTGCTTCTATTCTGGCAACCAATAACTCTCACTTTGTCCACTGCGAATGACTTTTTACTGGTCTCCCCGTTCTCACTCTTGACCCTTTACAATGATTTTACACACAGCAGCCAGGGTGACCTTTTAAAAACAAGGTAGAAAATGCTATTTTCTTGCTTAACACCATTCAACAATTTCCTACTGCATTTACTATCAAATTCAAATTTCTTACCAAAGCATCAAACTCTCACCATGATCTGGCTCTACCTACCTGTCCTCTTCATTTCTTACCAATTTGCTCCAACAACATTCCAACAACACTGGCCTTTTTTTTTTTTTTCTGTTCTAGATGTGCTGTAGAGCTCTTGCCAATGCTTTCCCTCTACCTTAAATCACTGTACGACTGGCTCTTTCTCGTCACTTAGGTCCTGACTGAAACCTCCTCAGTGGGCTTCACCTGACCACCCAATTTAATCCAGCCCTTCTTCCTATTTTTTTCACAACACATCATTCTTTCATATCTCACCAGTGACCTGTTTACTTGCTGACTCTCTCTCACCACTAGACAGTAAGGTCACAAGAGCAGGGACGTTCTTGGTCACTCCTGTTTAATACTTAATAGGCATCCATTAAATATTTGTTAAGTAAATAAATGAATCCTCTCTTAAAGGCATAAACCATGAAAAATCTAAGTAGATTTTTCAAAAATATTTTGTAAAGGTCATTCAAAAACCATCTAGAAGACGCGCCATCCACAATTCCTGTAGCTGCCAGCCTGTCATTTCTCAGGACCTCGGTCACACTGTACTACCTACAAATGGTAGATAATGACACCCAGGTAGATAATGTACCTGGCTATGATTTGTCACCCAGGATGTAAAAAGTGGCAGGCATTTTCAAAAGTTTCTTTCTAATGAGATGGAGTTAGAAAGAAACTGGCTTAATTCTTTTTCTTCTTTCAATAATGTTTAATGATATTTCTGGTTTTGAGAATACATTTGTTCCCTTGCACAGAATTCAGAAAACAAACAGAAGTATTTAAGCAAAAACCAAATATCACTGATAATCCTACCCCCAAAATAAGAACTGTTAATATTCTGAAACAATTCTTTATCTTATGGACAGATATACAAAATTAAGAATTTATTATATATAACAGTATTGATTAAATTGTTGGTATGCTTACAGATGTGTACTTTATTATGCTTTATAACATGTTATATGCTTTATATGTTTTTTCATGTGACATTTCACAGAAAAATGTATATAAAAACATGTAAATTTATTTTATACTTACATTTAATATTTCTCATGTCAGTATATGTTTTTCAAAAACATTTCTGTTGCTCTATAATATTCCATTTTATACTAATACTATAATTTGTTTAGTC